CGGCTGAAAACTTTTGAAAAACTCTTTGGAAAACACCACCTCCCGTTTCAGACTTCGAAAGGAGTTGCGGGGATGTGGAATAGGAACTGATCCTACTTAAAGGGGAGCAGAGGTGCTGACCCCGACTGGCCTACGACAGCTCCATACCACTCATGAGTCATCTTGAAAAGTTGAGTGAGGCTAGCCCGAGGCATCTGGCCTCAAACCTTGCATTAACAGTGTCTTTTATAGATATAGAGATAATAACAAAGAAGGATATCTGAATTATACGACCGAAACCTGGGACGTCGAGAGAGAGAGAGAGAGAGAGAGAGAGAGAGAGAGAGAGAGAGAGAGAGAGAGAGAGAGAGAGAGAGAGAGAGAGAGAGAGAGAGAGAGAGAGACAGAGACACAGACAGAGAGAGACAGAGAGAGAGACAGAGAGAGAGAGAGACACAGAGAGATGAAGATGAGGACGGTGCTCCTACATCTGTCAAGAGACGGCAATGTGTCCCACATATCGATTGCCTGCTTGAGAAACGCCAGAAAGTCGAGAGGGCGGTGGGTGGGAGGGTGGGGGGTGGGTTTAGAGCGGCCCCACCAGCCAGCGTGGCCACCCACCACCCACCCAGGACCGGAGATAGGGCGGACCCTGCCCACAAAATGTCCCCAATAAGAGTAGGGGAAGGAATGAACCCAAGCCAGAAGAAACCTGACTGGCAGGATATGACGGGGCGTCAGCGCGGGAGAACTGGACCGGATACCACGGCAGAAAATCCCGTCCACGTCACGCAAGCTGATACAAAGCTTTAGGAACACCTTTGAAGTGTCACACAAAGCAGTGGGAAGCTTGTCACTTCCGGTGGGCGACAGGTGGGCCGCCAAGCTCAGCTTATAAGAGCTTCAAGCTCAGATGAGGAGGCTAAGCTGCTCACCACCGGGGCTGGCACTGTGTTATCTTGAGGTTATCTTGAGATGATTTCGGGGATTTTTAGTGTCCCCGCGGCCCGGTCCTCGACCAGGCCTCCACCCCCAGGAAGCAGCCCGTGACAGCTGGCTAACACCCAGGTACCTATTTTACTGCTAGGTAACAGGGGCATAGGGTGAAAGAAACTCTGCCCATTGTTTCTCGCCGGCGCCTGGGATCGAATCCAGGACCGCAGGATCACAAGTCCAGCGTGCTGTCCGCTCGGCCGACCGGCTCCCGGTGGAATATGTGTCCCCCTACATATTTCCTCGTCTCAACCCAGTACTTTGATATGTGGGTCCCGGGTCAGGCCGGGCCACCGGGGGTGCCTAGATATCACCCAAACTTATTCATATATGTGTCTAACCTACGCTCGAAACAACACTCTCAGCGGTTACTTCGAGGTTACTAAGTTCCGAGGGATCACCAAAACCAGGCCTCTTGGTTTGGTAGTCAGGTCAACGAGGCTGTTAGATGTCGCTGCTCGCATTCTGACGTATGAATTCCATGACCGGTTGATCAAGAATCCTTGCGTTGTCTGATCATATATCAACCCGTTCTCGCAAATTTAATAAGTCAATATTGACTTATTAGTTGCGTGCATAGGTGACATACTAAACATAATAGTTTCCCTTGAAAAGCTTCATAGAAAACACCGACCTTACCTAACCTACTTAGTATGTTAAAATAAGCATCTTATAGCTTCGTAATTACAATTGTTACTTAACCTATTATAGGTATAGGTTAGGTAATAATTGTAATTACGAAGCAATAAGATACTTATCTTAACATACTAAGTAGGTTAGGTAAGGTCGGTGTTTTCTATGAAGCTTTTCAAGGGAAACTATTATGTTAAGTATGTCACCTATGCACATATTTAATTAGTCAATATTGACTTATTAAATTTGCGAGAACGGGTTGCATATATATATCACCCGCTAACCTATTTCAGAAATCTGAATTCCTATTTCATAATCAGCAAATTACCCAGTTCCTTTCTGAATCTAAATGTATTAGTAAATAAGAAATATTGCCGGAACAACCGTGGACATTTTCAAGAGGAAACTAGATTTATTCCTCCAAGGAGTGCCGGACCAACCGGGCTGTGGTGGGTATGTGGGCCTGCGGGCCGCTCCAAGCAACAGCCTTGTGGACCAAACTCTCACAAGTCAAGCCTGGCCTCGGGCCGGGCTTGGGGAGTAGAAGAACTCCCAGAACCCCATCAACCAGGTATCAACCAGGTATTCGGTGTGTAATTCGCTGATTCGATCACTATTTTGTGTCAAAACTCTATATCAGAACCTATTAATATCCCGCTGTTATATCTTCTCACCCATTTGCCTATTTCAGTCGTGTCCTCCTCTTCCTCTTCTCTTTTCTATCGAGTTTAAACTAAGCTTTCTTAATCTCTCTTCAATAAGAAAAGTTCCTAACTCCAGAATGAACTTTCCCGTCCTTCAATGCACATGATTAAGGAATTAAAAGTTCCATCTACAGATCGGTACGCGAAACTGAACTGCATAGTCTCAATGGGGACCCCCCCCTACAAGCAAGGGGGCCCCATATAGCACTTCCCCTTCCTCCCCCCTGGGGTGTCCCTAAGCCTCTGACTGGCCCACTCAGGTGCTTGTGTAGATGGTGTCAGGTGTGTTACACCACCGCGTGTGTTACAGACAGACAGACAGCAACACAAGCCACAGTTTGTACTGTATTCAACACCTCTGAGTGACTGTGGACAATTATCTTCCTGACAGAAGCACTTCCTTCCGTCACCCCTCCCCTGCTCCTTAGTTCTGACGCCCCCCCCCCCCTTGTCATTCTCTCCCCATTTGATGGGGTTCTGGGAGTTCTTCTACTCCCCAAGCCCGGCCCGAGGCCAGGCTCGACTTGTGAGAGTTTGATCCACCAGACTGTTGCTTGCAGTAGCCCGCAGGCCCACATACCCACCACAGCCCGGTTGGTCCGGTACAACAATTTACAATTACAATTTGGACTCTATTTCCATTTTTAACCACACTACAGCCCCAGCTGGAACACGGTAGGTACTGCTTCAGGGGGGCGCCGCCCCCTTGCAGGGGTGAAGGGGGGGGGGGTGTTGCAGGGGTAGAGGGGGTATGTTGCATGGTCACTTCAAAGAGCTTTCCTTGTGGGGGTAAAGCTCTGGGTGTTTCAGCAACTAGGTCACTGGCAACTTCAAAGACAGGAAATAGAGATGCTTTACTGCCTACCTCTCCTCCACCCTCGCCCTCTATCTCAGAGAGAGAGAGAGAGAGAGAGAGAGAGAGAGAGACAGAGTCAGAGAGAGAGAGAGACAGAGTCAGAGAGAGAGAGAGAGACAGGGTCAGAGAGAGAGAGAGACAGAGTCAGAGAGAGAGAGACAGGGTCAGAGAGAGAGAGAGAGAGAGACAGGGTCAGAGAGAGAGAGAGAGAGAGACAGGGTCAGAGAGAGAGAGAGAGAGAGACAGAGAGAGAGAGAGAGAGAGAGAGAGAGAGAGAGAGAGAGAGAGAGAGAGAGAGAGAGACAGAGAGAGAGAGAGAGAGAGAGAGAGAGAGAGAGAGAGAGAGAGACAGAGACAGAGTCAGAGAGAGAGACAGAGTCAGAGAGAGAGAGAGAGAGAGACAGGGTCAGAGAGAGAGAGAGAGAGAGAGAGAGAGAGAGAGAGAGAGAGAGAGAGAGAGAGAGAGAGAGAGAGAGACAGAGACAGAGTCAGAGAGAGAGACAGAGTCAGAGAGAGACAGAGCAGGCAGATTAACAGCTCTAGAAACTATCCATACAACTTGATACAATTACAACCGATTTGATTTACAACAATTTCCAGCACAATATTAACATAACTCACTCAGAAAAAAATAATTTACAAACTAAATCTTAAACAGGAACATTCTTAGTAACCATTAATTCTACTCCACCTAAGATATTCACATCAGACTTGGAGACATAAAAATGGTCACTTTAGAAAACTCTACCCTACCCTAACCTAACCTAACCTAACCTAACCTTTCCTAACCTTCCCTAACCTAACCTAACCTAACCTTCCCTAACCTAACCTAACCTTCCCTAACCTAACCTAACCTTCCCTACCCTAACCTAACCTAACCTAACCTAACCTTTCCTAACCTTCCCTAACCTAACCTAACCTAACCTAACCTTCCCTAACCTAACCTAACCTTCCCTAACCTAACCTAACCTTCCCTACCCTAACCTAACCTAACCTAACCTAACCTTTCCTAACCTTCCCTAACCTAACCTAACCTTCCCTACCCTAACCTAACCTAACCTTCCCTAACCTAACCTAACCTTCCCTAACCTAACCTAACCTTCCCTACCCTAACCTAACCTAACCTAACCTTTCCTAACCTTCCCTAACCTAACCTAACCTAACCTTCCCTAACCTAACCTAACCTTCCCTTCCCTAACCTAACCTAACCTTCCCTACCCTAACCTAACCTAACCTAACCTAACCTTTCCTAACCTTCCCTAACCTAACCTAACCTTCCCTACCCTAACCTAACCTAACCTAACCTTTCCTAACCTTCCCTAACCTAACCTAACCTAACCTAACCTTCCCTAACCTAACCTAACCTTCCCTAACCTAACCTAACCTAACCTTTCCTACCCTAACCTAACCTAACCTAACCTTTCCTAACCTTCCCTAACCTAACCTAACCTTCCCTACCCTAACCTAACCTAACCTAACCTTTCCTAACCTTTCCTAACCTTCCCTAACCTAACCTAACCTTCCCTACCCTAACCTAACCTAACCTAACCTTTCCTAACCTTCCCTAACCTAACCTAACCTAACCTTCCCTAACCTAACCTAACCTTCCCTAACCTAACCTAACCTAACCTTCCCTACCCTAACCTAACCTAACCTACCCTAACCTAACCCAGCATACTGACCAACGAACACATCTTACAAGAATATTTACTGAATATTAAAGTATCAATTATTACGTTGACTGTGTTTTACCACATTGAATAATTTTATTATTATTATTATTATAAATAAAATTATTATCATATATATTCCTAATATACGTATCATCCTCTCACCTTCAGCTTCCAAATCATCTAAGATCCGCAGGGTCTGAAAATACAAAAAAATATCATTAGTTTAATGATATTCTAATTTGAATATTAGTATTAATTAATTGAACTAATAATTCATTAGTTTAAATTTTTGTAGTGCACACTACTTTTTCTTCACACTACTGGAGTAGTGTGAGGGGGTACTGGAGTAGTGTGGTGGTACTGGAGTAGTGTGGGGGAGTACTGGAGGAGTGTGGGGGGGTACTGGAGTAGTGTGGGGGGGGTACTGGAGTAGTGTGGGGGGGGTACTGGAGTAGTGTGGGGGGGTAATACTGGAGTAGTGTGGGGGGGTACTGGAGTAGTGTGGTGGTACTGGAGTAGTGTGGGGGAGTACTGGAGTAGTGTGGGGGGGTACTGGAGTAGTGTGAGGGGCTACTGGAGTAGTGTGGTGGTACTGGAGTAGTGTGGGGGAGTACTGGAGTAGTGTGGGGGGGGTACTGGAGTAGTGTGGGGGGGTACTGGAGTAGTGTGGGGGGGTACTGGAGTAGTGTGGGGGGGTACTGGAGTAGTGTGGTGGTACTGGAGTAGTGTGGTGGTACTGGAGTAGTGTGGTGGTACTGGAGTAGTGTTGGGGAGTACTGGAGTAGTGTGGGGGGGTACTGGAGTAGTGTGGGGGGGTACTGGAGTAGTGTGGGGGGGTACTGGAGTAGTGTGGGGGGGGGTACTGGAGTAGTGTGGTGGTACTGGAGTAGTGTGGGGGAGTACTGGAGTAGTGTGGGGGGGGTACTGGAGTAGTGTGGTGGTACTGGAGTAGTGTGGGGGGGTACTGGAGTAGTGTGGGGGGGTACTGGAGTAGTGTGGTGGTACTGGAGTAGTGTGGGGGGAGTACTGGAGTAGTGTGGGGGGGTACTGGAGTAGTGTGGTGGTACTGGAGTAGTGTGGGGGGGGTACTGGAGTAGTGTGGGGGAGTACTGGAGTAGTGTGGGGGGGTACTGGAGTAGTGTGGTGGTGGTACTGGAGTAGTGTGGGGGAGTACTGGAGTGGTGTGGGGGGTACTGGAGTAGTGTGGGGGGGTACTGGAGTAGTGTGGGGGGGGTACTGGAGTAGTGTGGTGGTACTGGAGTAGTGTGGGGGAGTACTGGAGTAGTGTGGGGGAGTACTGGAGTAGTGTGGGGGAGTACTGGAGTAGTGTGAGGGGGTACTGGAGTAGTGTGGTGGTACTGGAGTAGTGTGGGGGAGAGTACTGGAGTAGTGTGGGGGGGGTACTGGAGTAGTGTGAGGGGGTACTGGAGTAGTGTGGTGGTACTGGAGTAGTGTGGGGGAGTACTGGAGTAGTGTGGGGGGGTACTGGAGTAGTGTGGGGGGGTACTGGAGTAGTGTGGGGGGGTACTGGAGTAGTGTGGGGGGTACTGGAGTAGTGTGGTGGTACTGGAGTAGTGTGGGGGAGTACTGGAGTAGTGTGGGGGGTACTGGAGTAGTGTGGTGGTACTGGAGTAGTGTGGGGGTACTGGAGTAGTGTGGGGGGGTATGGCGTAGTGTACTGGAGTAGTGTGGTGGTACTGGAGTAGTGTGGGGGGAGTACTGGAGTAGTGTGGTGGTACTGGAGTAGTGTGGGGGAGTACTGGAGTAGTGTGGGGGGGTACTGGAGTAGTGTGGTGGTACTGGAGTAGTGTGGGGGAGTACTGGAGTAGTGTGGAGGGGTACTGGAGTAGTGTGGGGGGGTACTGGAGTAGTGTGGGGGGGTACTGGAGTAGTGTGTGGTGGTACTGGAGTAGTGTGGGGGAGTACTGGAGTGGTGTGGGGGGTACTGGAGTAGTGTGGGGGGGTACTGGAGTAGTGTGGGGGGGGGTACTGGAGTAGTGTGGTGGTACTGGAGTAGTGTGGGGGAGTACTGGAGTAGTGTGGGGGAGTACTGGAGTAGTGTGGGGGGTACTGGAGTAGTGTGGGGGGGGGGGTACTGGAGTAGTGTGGGGGAGTACTGGAGTAGTGTGGGGGGGTACTGGAGTAGTGTGGTGGTACTGGAGTAGTGTGTGGGGGGTACTGGAGTAGTGTGGGGGAGTACTGGAGTGGTGTGGGGGGGGTACTGGAGTAGTGTGGGGGGGTACTGGAGTAGTGTGGTGGTACTGGAGTAGTGTGGGGGAGTACTGGAGTAGTGTGGGGGGTTCTGGAGTAGTGTGGGGGGGGTACTGGAGTAGTGGGGGGGTACTGGAGTAGTGTGGGGGGTACTGGAGTAGTGTGGGGGAGTACTGGAGTAGTGTGGGGGAGTACTGGAGTAGTGTGGGGGAGTACTGGAGTAGTGTGGGGGGGTACTGGAGTAGTGTGGGGGAGTACTGGAGCAGTGTGGGGGGGTACTGGAGTAGTGTGGGGGAGTACTGGAGTAGTGTGGGGGAGTACTGGAGTAGTGTGGGGGGGTACTGGAGTAGTGTGGGGGGGGGGTACTGGAGTAGTGTGGGGGGGGTACTGGAGTAGTGTGGGGGGGTACTGGAGTAGTGTGGGGTGCAGTACACCACTTTGGAGACGGTGGAGGTGGTGGGGGTGGGGTTGGGGGAGAGATGGAGGATGTGGTGGAGGGTGTGGAAAAGGAAGGAAGGAGTAGCGAGAGGGAGAGAGGGGGGGAATGTGGGAGGGAGGGGGGTGATGGGGCAGATGGGGGGGGGGGAGGGGGAGGGGGAGAGAGAGAGGGAGAGAGTGAATCAATACCTCTCCTGTGCTCGTGTTCCTCTCACAAGCCCGTCTTGGTTCCCCCCACACCCTTCACTGCTCTCTCTCTCTCTCTCCCCCTCCCTCTCTCTCTCTCTCTCTCTCTCTCCCTCTCTCCCTCCCTCCGCCCTCTCTCACCTTTACCTAGAAGAGCCTCCGTGATTTACACACAGGATTAACGAACATCAACGATAACCACGGACATCAATAACAATCACACGGACATCACACTAAGGTGATTCATTGATGTCACATTAATGGCGATTTCCGTGTCTGGTTGGGTACTGGGGTCTGTCGTCAGTACGTGGGTACTGGGGTCTGTCGTCAGTACGTGGGTACTGGGGTCTGTCGTCAGTACGTGGGTACTGGGGTCTGGCGTCAGTACGTGGGTACTGGGGTCTGTCGTCAGTACGTGGGTACTGGGGTCTGTCGTCAGTACGTGGGTACTGGGGTCTGGCGTCAGTACGTGGGTACTGGGGTCTGTCGTCAGTACGTGGGTACTGGGGTCTGGCGTCAGTAGGGGCTGCCTGACTCCCTGTGATTCCAATAGGAATCCAGTTGTATTTCTTTTTTTACAAGTCAATGATGGTCTAATTGGTAGAGTATGCGACTTGGCGATGCAGGGGTCGTGGGTTCGTGCCTTCCTATAGTCCCAGTGGATTTCCTCAATAATAGATTTATGAGATTACGTAAAACTGAGAAATCTGAATTAAAAAAATATCAAAGCTTAGCTGAGATTTGAAGGCAAATAAACTATTGTCATAGAAAAATCCAATGTTATTCTCCATCTTCAAGGGGAGCCGGTCGGCCGAGCGGACAGCACGCTGGACTTGTGATCCTGTGGTCCTGGGTTCGATCCCAGGCGCTGGCAAGAAACAATGGGCAGAGTTTCTTTTACCCTATGCCCCTGTTACCTAGCAGTAAAATAGGTACCTGGGTGGTAGTCAGCTGTCACGGGCTGCTTCCTGGGGGTGGAGGCCTGGTCCAGGACCGGGCCGCTGGGACACTAAAAAAAGCCTCGAAATCATCTCAAGATAACCTCAAGATAACCTTCCCTTGCTAGGCCCTGTATGTACTATGCAGTTCCACATATGTAGCGGAGTGAGAATATAGAACTACGACAAATTGAATCCCAGGAACTGACAAAACTTTATTTGTTAAGAGAGATTAACCAAACCTACTCCAGACAAAGCTGAAAAAAATGAAGATCCCAAATCTGAATAACAATGAACAAACATTTACGAATAATTTTTATTGTTTATATGATTTGATAATTTACATTCTCTAGTGAAGTGAGGGGTGAAGTGAGGCGTGAGGCGGATAAAAGGGGGATAGTAACAGAGTGTTGGATCAACGCACATTAAAACAAGACACGATGGATACACATGTGAAAAGTTGTGCAGTTTCGCTTCCGCAGCTTCAAAATTTATACTACGGGCTCACCATAGCCCGTGCTACTGGAAGTTATTGTTCTGAGTAGCTGAATCTAAAAACAACATTTAAAAAATTTCGTAGAATTTAGTGCACGACCCACAAGAACGCAGCATATCAACCAGAAAACATTGTGGGGCCATTAAGTGGGATCGAACCCACACACTCATGGCCTCCTACCCACATGTAAATCAATCACACTAACAACACACTTCAAATGGTGTATAAACACTAGACGCACTTGAGTATTAATAATGGAGCACTTACTACACACTCAAGACGTGTCTGGCCCCCGTGGCAGTGATAGTGTCCTGAGTACATGTTCCAGTCCTGAGTACTTCCTTCAGTCGTGTGTATGTCCTCATGTCATGTGTACCGGGAAGGCGGATGAGAGGGAGTGAGCAGGTTGGTGGAATAGTCAGGCAAAGGGAGGGAGGGAGGGAGAGAGTGTGAGAGGGAGGAAGAGAGTCAGAGAGAGTGTGTGTGTGTGTGTGTGTGTGTGTGTGTGTGTGTGTGTGTGTGTGTGTGTGTGTGTGTGTGTGTGTGTGTGTGTGTGTGTGTGTGTGTGTGAGAGAGAGAGAGTGATAAAGGGTTAGTGTAATAAAATCTATCAGAAGTGTTCGACCACAACTCTTCCAGTCAACATCAAAGCCATCCTTACACAAATGCTCCCTGTTCTTGCCGCTAGTATTGGTATTAACACTATTAGTATTTGCCCCACTAGTACTAGTTTTACTACTACTATTACTAATCCCATTAAAACCAGTAATAGTCCCACTACTACCAGTACTAATTCAACTACTACCAGCACTGGTTCTGCTACTGCTGTAATTACAAACACAGTATTAGAAACCACTCTCCTAACACATGCTTAACATTCTTAAGAAACTCATACATGTATAGTTTAATAAACAAAAAAA